CTCAATGGAAATCTCCAAATTTTTAATAGAAATCTCCATCCAAAAGCTTGCAAAAGCATCAAATCTCAATGGAAATCTCCAAATGTTTAATAGAAATCTCAATCCAAAACCCTGTAAGATAAGCAAATCCCAGCAAATTCAAAAGGGAAAAAGTAAACTATAACAAAAAAAATCCACTACAACTACCCCTCCAAAAAAAAAGACATTATTCTAGGGGCCTTTATAAATCAGTGCAGGGGAAAAAAAGACATAATTCTAGGGGGGTTTATAAATCTGAGGGGTACATTACATGGTGTTTGTCGCCAACTGCATGATGAGAAAGTTTTGATTTACATGGTCTATATGTATATAATTAATTGAATTCCACGCCGATCTATCCTCCACCCTTCAAATGCCGATGCACGCTCGCGATCTCGCCGACATCCGCGCTCGACCTCCGATCGCCGTTTTTCCCTCATCGAGCTCTTGATCGCGATCTCCGGCGCCAGCCGAGGTCCTCAGCTTCAGCGACTTTTGTGCATGGTGCACCTGGGCTGGGCCCAATGAAGGATACAGTGCCCCATATTGCCCCACCTCAGGTATTACCTTGAAGAAACCAGTCAAAATAATCACAAAGACTTGTTGATCAAATTGTGGGGCAGCCACTAAACCATTGTTCCAAAGCCACAAAGACGTTTGGTGACTGGCAGCCCAGCAACTTCACGTGGCCAATCCAGTCTAGACTGCCAAAGCGATGATACTTGCGGCAACCAATTCCTTTAGGTCATGCAGGATCAAAACTGATTGCCAACAGGGCTACAACCGTAAAAACGAGTTGAAAATAGCAATAAATTGGTGCAAGGGGCGGTCGTGAACTTGCCACGGCGCCAGCTCCTGGAATGCCTTGGGGGTGAGCTCAACTTATGAGTTCGAGTCCAGATTTGTTTTGGGAACCCACATCCTACTCACTAGGCTCAAAGCTTTTCAAAGTTCAGAATCAAAGCATTAATTTTTGGTCGTGCAGGCCACCAACGCCTTTCCACCAAAGTGCTTCACTGGCCAGGCCTATATAGCTAGCCAAGCACATCTCCTCACCCACGCATGGTCCAGTGTGCGCCAGTACCATGCTCAACACCAAGCATCCCCTAGAGGAATGGTTTTTCTCAACTGTGGGTGAGCCAAAACTTCACAAGCGGAAAGGCAAGACGAGACTCACAATGCCGCTTAGGGGCCACACTGCTCGGATTCATCATGAAAGGAAGCAACAATGCGCCTGGGGTTGGAAAAAGGGGGGATGGTCCAGGGACAATTGCGTCGGCAGTGCTGCCAGTCGGTCTAGTGACTCTAGTCTAGCGTCTTTAACCGTCGACGAGCTGGAGGAGCACGCTCGAATCTCGAATGAAGCCAGATCAACTTCGCGGCTGCCAGCCCGCGTGAAGCATCAAACCAATAGGGAGAGCGGCGCAGAGTGGGCCAAGTGCATACAGCAGGATGATGGCCGTCAAGGGCGCTGGGGAGGTCACTCCGGGTGTGGCTTTGCAAAGGCCGGTGCTCGCAATCAACTGCCCATTGCGTGGCACCGCGTTCAAGCGCTTTCCGCTCCAAGCGAGAGTTGGAAGAAAAGGTGCGGTGAGTGTACTTTGGCCTCCGGCCACCTACACGCAGTTGGCCATGTGAAGAAATGGTGAGCAAGGAAAAGGCTTCTGGCACTCTGGCAGCAAAAGCTGCTTGCGAGACATCAAGCCACCGTTGTGTTTCACCGTGCTGGCAAATTTCAAAGAACACAGGAGCTCAGTATGGACGATAGGGTCATGACCAACACTGATATGACACAGGTGATTTGGGCAGATGTCCACTGCTCTATGAAGCTTACTGAGGACTCCTACACGTGCAAGGTCTTCAGTTGAACCTTCCAGACCACAGCAGGCTTGTCTATGACAAAGTGGCCAACCAAAAAACCAGCCCGGGTGTTGGAAGGCTTCTCAGGTCTGTGGGTCTTGTCTCGGTTCATATCGGTTCCCTGTCTTTCAATCACGTCAAAGAGACCTGAATGTCTTTCATGGCCGGAATTTATGACCCTTCAAGTGCTCAGAGCAGGCCAACAACACCTCCGTGATGAGATGGTAGTTTCTCTCAAGGCCGTCCTCTTAGACCTTGTTGGTACGACATACACTACCCTTGCATTGCAAGTGCATGCAGGTGGGCCACGGCCTCCCGGTCACAGCAGAGGTTCGCTGCCTCGTGGGCCCCGATAGCAACGACACCCGCATTGTCGTTGCCCTCCACGGTTCCGAGAACCCGGCCACCGCGTCCAAGACGGCGGGCACGCCGGGCTCCGGGGCCCGCTGCTCCGGTTTCAGGCACAGCGTCTCCACGTCCCACACACCTCGTCAGCCGCAGTGTCGTTGCTGCTCCGTCTCAGCTTCAACTTCTGAGGTCGCCACGTTCCACGCCCCGCTCCACCGCCGTCCACAGGACGCGGCGAGCCGGAACCACGCGCGGTCGTGCCTGTCAGCCACGTCAACAACACAGAAAGTCTCTGTGTGTCTGCACCTGACGGATATCCAACTGTTAATCTTTTGCTTTTTTCTCTTTGTTGCTTGCTTTCTGTGTTGCTTTGTTTCATTTCTTCCTTTTGGTTTTCTTTCTTTCTCGGTTTCTTTCCTGCTGTGTCTCTCTCTCGCTCTCTCTCTCTCTCTCTTTCTTTCTCTCTCTCTCTCTCTCTTTCTCTTTCTCTCCGTCCCTCCGCTATTTTGCCTTTGGCGCTGCACGTGACGGCGCCCGGGCCGGAGCCCGCGCGGCCGCGCTGCGCGCGAACTCCACTGCACCTGCATGGCCCCAGTTCCAGTCCACAATGGGCCTGTCCTGGAGAAGATAGCTAGACATTGCCTCACCCTTTCGGGCCAAGCAACCTTAAGGCACATGACATCCGGTATACGGTTCTTTCCACATAGGCCTTGATTCGATTCAAAATGATCTGAGCATCTGCCTCATGAATTAGCAGATGGGCATCCTAGACACCTAGCAAAAGTGACCAAGACAAAGAGAAATCCCAACCCACTAATTTAGGTGAACGCACGCCAGAGCTGGTGTGAGCTGAGGGAATGGGTGGGCAATGCAAAGTGGTCAGCAGGCTCACGAATTCCAGCGCTGCTGTAGGAGTGGGTCAAAGCCCATAACTTGCAAAAATTTGGATACCAGTAACATCCATCACTGACAGAACAACAAAGTCGAACAATCATTCCGGAAGCCCCTTTCCTGGCAGCTAGGCGAAGCAGGCCCATTGCCACCAGACATGGGTCAGAGGCAAAGCCACAGTTTCATCCAACATAAACATCTGGCGTTGGTACCGTGATGTACCATGCTTAGAGGCTAGAACTCCAAATTGTATCTTTTCAAGGTCTACTCACAGCATGCACATGACTGAAACCTTCAGAACACGTAGTTTGACCTCCAAAAACTGCATGCGGAGGAAGAAAATGGGCAAACTTCATGCTCAAACACTGTTTTCCTGACTACATTCTCAGAAGAGTCGGATCCTCAGGGACTAACTAGTTGCAGCAGTGTTCACTCTGACTTTGAAAAGTAGGCAACACAAAAGATACCAACAGTTCATGTTCATGCAAGTGACCTCCTCAATCGGTCTAAACTCCTACCTTTCAGGTGATAAAAAGTCAAGTCCACCTAAGCCTGATGTGTCGTGTCGGGACTTCAACCCTTCAAGCAGTTTCAATCCAACACTTTACATAAGGGTGCAACCGGTTAAGGACACCAGGAAGGCTCTAGCGCTGCTGGCTTCGCGCTGGGAATTATCAGGCTCAATCAAACCATGAGTGTGATCCATCATTTCTTGTCTCCAAGGGTAAACAAAAGCTTGTTTCTACTGTCACCAGTACCAAGGTGCTGTGTTCGGCCATCTTCTTCAACAGTTCGGGGTTTCTGCACGCGGTTTTGCTCGCTTCATTCTGGAATTTCGGCCATGTTCTGCTGAAAGTGCACATTGTTGACGTGCAAACTGCCCAAACACTGCTGCAGTAGAAGCCGATGTGCAAACGGCTCTGCAAACGGGCCTACTTTGCTTCTGCCCGTAAGATGAACTTCGACGGCCGGCCCTGGCCCTTTTTGGAGGGTTCCCATACAAAAACGGAGGATTTCCACTGCACGAATATGACTGAAGCTTCAAATTAGTCCAAACAAGTGGAACCAACATGACTCTCTGGGTGGTCCTTCCCATGTGGACCTCCGGAGGTTACTACCTCTCCGGTGGAAGGCCCCATGTGTCATGGGATCGATCTGACATGATCTGACCGAGTTCTCGGCTCCCACCGGAACGGACTTACCGCGGCAAGTCGAGACGCCGTGAACGCCGCAGTCGACGCTGAGTGCCGTGTCTTCTGCCTCACATCAGAGTGCATTGATCCGTGCAACGATCTGTGCAGCGGTCACATCGGTCTCCTCCTCCACCGGCCCTGCAGGTCACGAAACTCGCCGACCGAAACACGGAGGGCGACGTCCCGGAAAGACGCCTCGTTCATTCCTGAGATCGTGGGGTTCACTTCGAAGGATGCAGGCGAACCAGGAAACGTGACGTTCTTTTGGGGTTCGCATGCATAAACAAGAAACCATGTTCTATCAAGTTTCTGGCCACCCCTAACGCCATTGACCTACCAGGGGGGACCGTTGGACTGCGCATTGGAGATGTGACACGGACATCACGGCAGAGTGAAGCCTGCTTTGCCACAGGGCTTTCCACATTAAAGGAAAGAGGGACGGATCCACCATTCAGGTCTCCAATGTTATGTCCAACGTGCTATAGCTGGCCGCTCTAAAGTCCGCAAAACATGGGAAGTCTTCACCAGTCCAACCGAGAAAGCGCTCCCAGTCGCGCTCCAAGTCACGCTGGTCGCCCGTCTTCACCAGTCCACGCTCCGCTCCATGCGTGGACACGCCGGGCGCGGTGGTCGCCTCGGTTGCTCCACTTCGAAGTGCTGTCGACCACGGCCGCGCCGGTCCTGGCGGAAGGGTTTAAGCCCACGTCCGGACAGCAGGTTCTAGAGGGTGATCTTCAAGTCAGGGAGAGCTCGGAGAGCCTGAGGTTTCTGCCCACACATAAATGGTGCTTTTGTTTATCATGTCGTCAGGTTGTGTTATTTCATTTTTGCGTCTGAGCTTTCAATACTCTCTCCAAGGTCGCGTCGTGCATGGAGCCTCTTGGAGCCTCTTCTTTCTCAAACTGTCCTGCTCATCATCGGAATCGTCATGGCCCTTGGCAGGAATGAGAGGTCGCTTGGCATGAAACATGGTGTGTGTGGAAAGTTTAGAAATAGATGAAGACTTATATCATTACGAGCTTTGATGGACCAATAGATGAATCCTGAACTGATAGATAGAAGAACTGTTTGTACCCGGCCGCGTGGATTTCCAACCCAATTTCACTTCAGGATGCGATCTCTTCACTCCAGTCCATATCCTCACAAAGGTCACCCAGTCCAGTCTCCTGTAACTTCATGTTCAGGATATCGATCTTTTTGCTAAAAGCAACCATCATCTTCTCTTCTCGTTCCCCACCCCAAACAACCTCACCCCCATAACCGCATGTTTGCAACGCTCCTTCACCGCCTTCGCGAAAGCTCCTGACAACCTCCCGCGGTGGTTCGCTCCTACCACCGCCGTACCGCGCGGAACGCTCGCCGCCGCGTCGGGGAAGCGCTGGCGGCCCCGGCTGGGTGTCGGTTGTCCCAAACCTCGGAGCGTCTCGAGGGCTGGTACCTCGTCAAAGGCACGGCCGTGAGAAGGCGCCGGCGAACGAACGGCACGGTGGTTGGTTCCACGGCCAAAGGAGGTGCGGCACGGTGAGTTGAGAAAGAGGTGTTTTGGTCCTTTTGGTCCAAATTGGTTCCAACGTGTTCCAAACAAACGACAGAATGACCCTTTCATGATCTTTCATACGTCGAGTGCAGGAGAAACGGCCTCCATCAAGTCCATCGGACGCAACGCGTACGCCCGCGTCGACCGACCTCCCCGGAGCGGGAGCACGTCACCACGGGTCTCGGTGGAGACTGGGTAGACCTGGGAGGAACTGCTGGATATCAAACCATGATCTCCAAAAAAAGGAGATACTAAAGGAGCTGCATAAGGACAACAACTACCTATCAGCACCTTCATTCCGGGGTCGCTGGTTTCGCCCCAGCCCACCACTAAGGGACCTCCAGACAGGACACCCATTGAAGGTCCAGGTATATACTGCACGACAGATCCACAAAGAACACCTGCAAAGTTTCGTCGAAGGCATTTTTCCCACGGTCCTCCTAGGACGACACCGGACAACTCTCGGACGAACAGGCAGTTCTGAGTCGGACGTCACCAAGTCGCAGCAAAAACACATCAAGTCGCGTCGACATCCTATTAAGAGTGGATGATAGTAATAGGACAAACCCAAACTTAAAGGTTCATTTTGGTTCAGATTGCAATTTGACATCAAGCAGTTTGATGTTCTCTATATCTGTGGTCGTGACATGTTGTGACAAACTCCCTGTGACAATTTCCGGAGAGCCCCTCTCAAAAAGGATATGGTCCTCGGCTTGTGTGCTGTGGTTGTTTGTTGTGGTTGTGGTTGTGTGTTTGTGGCTGTGTGATTGTGTGTTTGTAGTTGTGGTTGTGGTTGTGGCTGTGTCTTTGTGGATGTGTGTTTGTAGTTGTGGTTGTGGTTGTGTCTTTGTGATTGTGTGTTTGTGGATGTGTGTTTGTGGTTGTGTGTTTGTGGTCGTGTTTGTTGCTGTGTTTGTAATTGGGTGTTTGTTGTTTTTTTGCTGTGGTTGAGGTCCGGCAGGGAACACTGGGCGTGGATGGTCGTGGTTGAGGTCCGGTGGAGGAGGACGAGGAGGAGAAGAAGGAGGCGGAGGAGGAGGAGATGGGGCTGACATAAAATCAAACAACCCTCACCTGACAGGTGGGGAAAAAACCATCCAGAACCTCAATCAAACTCTTGCAAGAGGGGCTGAAAACCACCGTTCGTTCGCTTCACCCACACACATCCACACATCTCGCCCTCTCATCCTTGGATGTGTCAAATCTCTCAGGTCCCCCCACGGCTTCTCCGGGTCATATGTCAGGGTCGACTGTTCATCGCTGATGGTGACGTGCTTCCTGACGTCGGTCGACGTCGGACGTCGTCGGACTCCGACACAAACAAACCATAGAGCTCCACGAACCAATATCGTTGGCAGCCTCTGACGTAACATGTGCAAAAACAATATATAACCAAAACCCCCTGCGTGCGACGGCACAAAAAAGCAGCGCCCCATAGCGCCTCGGGTTGGTTGACTTCCTGTCCGACGCGCTCGACGCGCTTGCCAACCGCTGGTCGGCCAACGCCGAGCAGAATGCCGAGCAGAACGAGGTCTAAAACAGGATGCCGAGGTCCCGTGTGGTGCGGCGTTGTGGTGCAACGCGGCGTTGTGAAACTGAACTTGAACCATGCGCCAGCACCACAACAAGGCAACAGCACAAACACCAGCGGCAGCCAACATGCAGGATCTGGGTGGTTTTTGGGAGCATGGTAAACCACCATATAGTGAGAAGCTGAGCAGCCAAGTATGATAGAGGAATCCTTCGAGTTTTCCAGCGGCCTACGTTCCACTTCCATGCAAGTGTCACGGCAAATCCTTCTGTTTCAGTGGGTCGGTGAATCCTACAGGTCTGGTTTTCAGATCGGGAGAAGCCGCACGCCGATCGTTTGAACAAACGCGACGGCGCCGGACGGGAGCCAAAACGCGAAGAAGCCCCGCGCACGCTGAATCAGGAGGGTTCCTCCGAAAAGGGTGGTTGACCTTGATTTCACATGCCTTTCTCGACTTGAACAAGGTTTGCTACGAACGGGGCTCCTGGCATCGCGACTCGAACGGAGCGTTCGGACGCTGCGAACGGACATGCCCTTCTCGACTTCCTCATTTCGGTTCCGCCCCGTTCCTCTAATCCGTTCCTCTAACAGTCGAACCCATCGGTTCCTCCACAGCACCTGATTTCAACATGCACAAAAAAAAACCGTCCCAAATCCAGGGACCTTCGAGAAGGCGAGCACGTCGCGGGGAACCTCGCCTGGAATCCTTCTCGCCACTCTCGCCGCCCTCGCCACCGCTGGGTTCCTGCTTCGATCGATCTGAGCTGCCATCGGTTGTGAATGATGTTTTCACACGCGGGATTACACGGGAGCTTCGATCAAAGACATGACTGCCATCGGTCGATGAAGAAGAGTTGGTCGATGCCGGAATCGAACTCGAACTCGATCCGATCATGTTGCACTTTCTCACCACTTCAAACCCCGCCACTTGATCACTAGGGAAACCACTCTCATCCGACCTCCGCCCATTGAAACTTTCATCCCACATGATCACTCTCATCTGATTCATCCCCTATTACACCTCAGCTTCGCTATTTCACACCCGTACCGCAGCTTCGCTAGGACTGGACCCGAGGAGGGTACGTCAGCTGGTCCGTCCGCCTCCGTCCGGTCCGGTCCCACCGCGTACCGAAGCGCTGCGGTCCCGCCTCGGCGTCCAGGTCGGAGGGGCTCTGGACCAAGGTCGGCCGACGGCTGCCCATGGCGACGGTGGAGCAGGAAGTGGGGGGCCCTGAAGGAAGACAAAACACAAAGAGAATGATGGAGTTGGAGCAGGAATTCGTGGAACATGTCAAGTTGTGTGTTTTCTTTTTATTTTGAATATCACTTTGACATCTTATTTTAGCTAGATTCTTTAGAATACAAACAGATGGGTTTGTGTGTGATGAGAGAATAGACGAAAGCAAGTGTTCTGCCACATGGTTTGTTGGCCACATGGAACGTCTGCCATTTGTATTCTCAAACCTGGTTCCTTAAAAGAATATGCTCTTGCTGGTCCCGAACTTGTCTTTTAAAAAACCGCCGCGGGGTGTGCGGAACCCGTTCAAAGCCCCAAACACGAAAAGCAAAGGAATCCAATCGCTGCAGCAATCCTTCGCTTCTCAGCGTGGCTCCACGCTGCTGTAATCGCTCGCTCGAGTTCGTGACGTTCGAAACAGCATCGGCGCTGCTGAAGTTCGCCCCGTGTGAAGCGCGCTTGGGGTCGGCTGCCACGGCGTGGAGCTTCGAAGTATGCGAGTGAGTATACTCCCGCTGGGTCGATATGTAGGCCTATTCATATAAGGCATACGATAATGCCTATAGAGCATCCTAGAGCCTATAGGGCTCCAAGCACCTTCTGAGAATGTGTTTGGGGTGGGTTTGCACAATCCAAATACCTTTTGAGGAGGTACTTGGAGCCCTAGGGAATCTCTCTAGTCCACAAAAAGCATTGAGTGCAAGAATCATCACCACGGCGGTGAATGGAACGGCAGTCCACCAAAAAGAGAACAGCAATGTGCATCATTTTTCACTTCTCTTTTGAAGAGCTTGAAGTGTTGAAAAAAGACCTCCAGTGTTCCTGGACTACTCTGGACTCCGACTGGCCGTTTTTTCCACACGCACGGTATACCCGCGAGGGCCGGTGAAAGGTTCAGCACTTTGTGCTGAGCAGCTACCGAAAATCATTTGCGTTGGCTCAAACTCCCACCTGCTTCGGATAGGTGATAGAATAGGACCCATGGAGCAATCCAATCATCGAACTGCCAAAGGGGTCGCATGAATCGGAAAAAACGTGTTGGACCACATGCATTGGGGTCCCCCCATGGCTATGCTGACATGGTTGGTATAAGAGATCCCTATTGGCAGCTTTCAGCTTTTTAAGACTCGTCCTGACTCTAGTTTCTTGGAAAAATTTGTTGTGCCATGAGCTGTTTCTAGGAAGTTGAACCCCTTTCTCCTTAGCAAAACCCACGACTTTTGGTTCTCATCAGATCGTCCACTGGTCTGTCCTGAGCCAAACGGCCATGTTTTGGCCGAGACGTCTCCTGTCTACACGACCGCCGGACCGCGAGTCCCGCGGGCGCCGCAGAAGGACCGTTTGCTCGCTCGTTCAGGCTGAGACCATATGGGGGGTCCTACCAG